ACAGCAGCGAAGTTAAGATTAGTATTTTCAAGCACGCCACTTCTTCGCCTTGAAGGCAAGGATAGACTCCCGTTCCAGACCTCATCAATGTATATCTACAACTTTACATGCTCCTGTAGGGCAAGTTACATTGGTCGAACAACTAGGCGGCTATCCAAACGCATACGGGAACACCATCCTGCCTGGCTAAACAAAGGCGAGGTCCAACACCATCCTGCCTGGCTAAACAAAGGCGAGGTCAAGTCAATATCTAGTGCGATTTTGGTTCACTTGGTTGACAGCGGTCACCGGGTAGAAGTAAACCAAGCGTTTCATGTCTTGTATAAAGTACCAGCGAAACACTCCAAGTTCCTGCGGCAACGGATACTTGCGACGGCAGAAGCTGTGGCCAAACGACTCACAAACCCGATCTTATGTGCACAGAAGGCCTTCGTCGTGGCCCCACGGCTCCCGTGGCCGAGAACAAGCTCAAACTCAACATGCGCCAGCACACCCAGCATGCCGGTAGATGATGAGCAGACAGTGACAACTGGTGCCAAGACGCCGCGACCAGTTGACATGAACTAATTATGAGACACTCCCCCCTGTCCCCTTTGATCTCTTAACAACTCCCCCTCCCCCCTCAAATACCGCTGATTGGTTGCTTAAACTTTTGCTAACTTTACTCCCTTTATATTATTGTACACGCAAGATGATGAATTAATCGAAAACGTTCGTTCGCCTATCTTGAGCTGTGAAATCATTTACCATACTAGCTAAAAGCCCAGACACGTGTTTCGTCGGCATTCTGGTGGAATTCGGTCCAAATATTTAGAATCAAAGCCTATAGACCTTGAATATACTGATCTGTACCAAGTTCAAAACTTGAATTCTAGGGAAATTAAAAAGCCGAGGTATAGACTTGGCTGCCAACCTACGTGAACTTTGCAGTCGTCATGGGTGCATCACACTCCACCGCCTGTCCCGTATCGCAACTCGTTGGTGACCTCGAGTTCAGATGGGCAACAACAGCCGTTGTGATGTCCTCCGACTGGCTGATCAGCCTTTGAGGGGCGCGAACAAGGTCATGGGCTGTCCAAGCGACGGAGGAGGCGGGTTGCGGCGCGTTCATTGGCAGAAAGGCATCGATGGCGGTCACCCTCGGTGGGCGGTCCTGCGCTTCCTGAACACGTACAGCCAGGATGATCGGGGTAGAGTTGGGACAACGAAGACCTAGTATCAGGCCCCTGTGCCCTGAATATGCACAGCACAAAGTCAGAACTCCGCGAAATCACTAATTTTAGGCACGGCAAAGCACAATTGAACTGTTTAAAATCCGAATTCTTCAAGCCACGGGTCATACAACGGTGGAATAATCTCCTACAATCAGTCGTGGAGGCCGAGCCCCTACAGCTGTTCAAAAAAGGCTTGGATAATTACATGTATCTGCTGTTGTCCCTTGACCACACAAGCTCCGGACAAGAGTTATTTGTAAAATAAAAAAAATGCTACTCACTGTTTGTCAATACTATTTTAATAGTGAAAAGGTACGCATAAGTGAACAGATGTATGAAGCACCGGCATGTAAGCAATAAGGTTTTCAAAGGCATTGCCCATTACCCTCACTAAATAAACTGAAAAAAACTGGAAACATTCTTTTTCGCCGGCCTTGCAAAAGCCGTGTTTAAACTTATTCTAGAGTAACCGTGAGGACAATGATAACCCTATTAAACCAAAAGCTAGAGGATTGACTAGAGTTGGCAGCGTAAGTCTTTTCAGCACGACTGGGTAGAATGGTAGCAGCAAGCTCTAGTCTGGCATCAAAGAAAACTTAGTTAATAGCGTTTCATGGTCGCTATGTCCCAGTGCCATCATCCGGTTTTGCGACTCAGACCTCAGCCCCCTGGGGTAACATTGTTGATGCGATCTTTTATTCATCACACTTGAAGGTAGGCTTGTTTGGCAGCTAACCTTAACCGAAGGTCGTTCCTCTACCCGTGGACACGCCCAGGAGCCAACAGCTAGGCTAATCGTTAACCCATTTTCCCGGCTTAACGCGTCATCACACAGTGCGACGGTGGATAAAGCACACTGTCTACATCAGTAAATTGAAACCATCAACCACATGGTAGAAACGAAAGGGTGAGAACTTGAAATTGGGGAAGGGTTCCTAACGCGTGAAGCGTATGCTGGTTCTCGTGCCACGGCTAGTTGCACCCAGCTAGAGGCGGGCGTCATGGGCTACGGTATCATCTCTGGCGATGACGACATAACCTTCAATGAACTTGAGTAAAGCATTATCTACGGGTCTGCGTTCTCATGTTTGCAGAGGGGCGAATAAAAGTACAGAGAAATGAAACAGTGGCACGATTCCCTTTCCAAAAGAATATCTGATACGTCAGAGTTTTGATGCATCAGCCTTTTTGGCGGCGCAGTTTCACAGTATAAAATATTTAGAAGCGGCAGTGGCCTTCAGGGGGGGGGAATACTTGTAAAAACGCAGTTTTATCTGGCCGGAATTTTTAGAGCAAAGGCTTTGACTCCAGCCACCTACCTTAGAATCCTTGTCTTCTAGTGAACTCATCCAGAAACGAGATAAAATGTAGAGCGACAGCAGCTACGGAACCGGGCAGGACAATCAACCGTCTGAATTCGAACAAATACCATACCAACTTTAGACAGACGTTATTTGTAAAAATAATGCTACTCATAGTTTGTGAATACTGTGTTAAGCGCGCGTGTACAAATGCATATGTCGCTATGTAAACAAAAAGAGTTTTCAAATGTAATGCCTATCATTTTCACCAAATAAACCGGAACTTAGGGTCCCGCACGGCCTTTTTAGTGTTATATATGGGTATTTCGAGGAGAAGGAGGCACCGCCTTTCCTCTTGATCTGTTCGAGGAAAATTACTGACTAGGTGGTGGTGTAGTGGAATACCAAATCCAATGCTTGCCAATTAAGCTACCGGATTCCCCGGCAGAATCTAACGAGTAGCATTCAGGTTTCGAGACAGAGACAGGTAATTCAAGTTTGATTTGGGCGCTGGGTCTAGAACACACGTTGAGAATCAACTTACGATTATCGTCTATTTCTATCGACCCTGTCTTGTAATTGGGCTCCATCTAGTCTCCTTTTTCGTTTTCATATTGCAACTACTACTACTACTACTACTACTACTACTACTACTACGGGTTAACCTTATTGCCGATGAAAAGCGAAAATTACGCCACGAGACAAAGCATCAGTAGATTGAAAATTAAAATGTGGAGATGCTTACTCTTTTGGACTGCCTCGTAGACCAGTTGGTTGATAAAGGACAAAGGGCGCTCAGGCGCAGAAGACTGCAAGTCGAATACCTCCATTTTGGTGGTGCGTACGTTCTAAGGGCAATAGAAATGGGAACAAATGTAATTTTAAAAAGGATCCACTACGTAGTTGGGCAGTAAAATTATACTGATACGGTGGCAGAATGCTAGTGCGGCTAACGAATTGAGATTTTTAGCAGTTCCCGCGCTGGCGCGCGACTAGTATCCTAAGACCACTTAGTTAAAAAAAAACATTGGACGATATGTTAAGTTGTTGGGAGTTGCTCGAGCATGTTTCCCTACGACGGTTCATCAAAGAATGCAAGGAAAAATAAGGGGCCCGATAAAAGCAACGAAGGAATTCAGCAGGAAACGCAAGCTGTGGCAAAGCGCAGTGGTTGGGAGATCTTTTAGGCAATAAAAACACAGAGGAAAAAGCCTTAAGATATGATAATTGAATTTGCTCTAGCGATCGCTATAGAATTCCTAGCTACCTTACTTAATACGTTCGTTGATAAACACAGCAGAGGTTAGCAAAACTTTCGACTGCTAGACGCAGTAGGAGAAGTGAACTCTTCATCCAAATTTTTCAAAGAATTTAAAATAAAACTAGCTCTTCGTTGCCAAGCTTAATAACAGGCACTCTTTGTAGCACATTGCTTGGTGATCCTTTCAAAGTGGTGCCAAAACCCATGCTTGTTTACATTATACACCGCCTGTATATGGGGCGGTGTTATAAAACAATATAAATTTGGTGAACGGAGACCTGCAGCGTGCATGGTGCATGCTGAAGCCAACTGGAAGGGCACAAGACGTCCTAATTTCGAGAGTTAAGCCTACCACTAGCGTACTCAGTCATATACTAGGGCCATATCTGTACCGTTAGATCAAGGCTAACCATTTGCTTAATAATATTTCATTAGCCCGGAAAAACTGCGAATGGCAGGCTAACGACGGCCTTTCATCCGAAATACAATCCACGTTAAATTACATTAGTACACCATAGGCTCGCAACAACGAGCTTTTTATAACTGACCGACCCGGCGGCGACCTGCTAACGAATCACTTGTATTACCGCCTGAAAATCGGCTTAGTAAAATTTAGGCGTATAACTAATCTTAAATAAATAATTTCGGAAAATTTGCACTACTAAATTAAGTAAATATAGACGAAAACGAAGACCAATCTACGTCAAAAGCACTGACAGTTAGTGAACCAAACGTAAGAAAGACAGTTACGATGAGGACAAAGTATAATACCTAGAGACGTGTGAAAACAGAAAAAATGAGAAACGAGGCCAAACAGATAACAAGAGCATTTATCCGTGTTTTCGGGTTTTTAAATCTTCTTTTATTTCCATTAAGTTTTGTAACTGTACGTAAAATCCATCAAAATATCCAGAAGAAAAAGCCGCGATCACTGGGTCGGCAATTGCATTATTCTGAGCTTTCGGCATCACACGAGATGCCATTGTCAGAGAAGTGAGAAAACAGGAAGCGGGGGCATGTTCTGTACGCACCCAAGCCACTACCGCACCAAGGACGCAGGATACGGTACCAAAGACGCGAGAAAACGCGATGCGATGAGACGGTGTGAGTATGGACCAATCACGAATGCCACACCCCCCACACACCCCATATACTCGCAGCTAGAATAAAAAACGTGCTACCGCTTGCTTTTGTGTACATGAGTTTCTTAACAAATGCTCGTCCGCGGTCGACAGCTTGCCTAGCATTTTACGTTTCACTCATCGATAAACCAGACTACTTTCGTCCTCAAATGTGCCGTGAAATTCGAGTACCATTGCATTTAACCGACCGGTCATGATATGACGTCGGGCTTCGTAATTAACTAAAATGGACCGTCTATCATTACCCAAATTCTTTTGGATATAATTTGCGTCACCCACGATCACGAATGACCACTCGCCCCGGAGTTCACTGTTCACTTCAATCGACTTAAGCTTCGTGGCTGACCCACGGCGGCCGACAAAAGCAAACAGGGGATGATGAGGGGCGCAAACTTCTCCACGCTGTCTGTGTTGTGTGTTAATGCAAGCGATAAGCGCCTAGGCCGAAACAACTCCCATCCATTTAGCTGTATATATGAGGTTTAGCGACTCCACCACTGCTAAGAAAAGCCTGCTGTGCCGCAAGTGCCCTGCTAACTTGGCCGTCCCTCTCCCACGCATAAATACCGTGGGACGCTATACGATAGTCAACTGTAAATTTCGAATCTGTCTATTGCTCTCCGGACCCCAGGTGATTCAGAGGGACACCGGGTTTAGATGGATGAGGGAAGATAGAATGCGATAGATGCTGCGAAAAGTCTACTATAACTTAAAAATAAATCGCCCCAAATGCACCATCGTCCAGGTGGTCTTCCACAGCCTAAAGTACGCATGTGTTACCCGAACGTCGGCGAAATGCGTACTTCTAATAAACAAGTCATATTCTTAGGGCATGTCGTCTCTGCATCCCGGATAGTGATCGATAAGTAGAAGGTTAAAGATTT